TACTACTACTACTACTACTACTACTACTACTACTACTACTACTACTAATAATAATAATAATAATAATAAAATAATTATATTTTTTTAATAATAATTAATAATCGTCCACATAAATATTTAAATCATAGTAAAAAATTATAATAATCCTAAAATGTGTGGATAGTTGTGCTATGTAATAATATGCTAACTATAATGATGTGACACAATTTATAAATATTTTAAGTTTAATACTAATCCATTGGAATATCTATTTAAATCATTTTTTTTTTTTTGTTGTTGTACTTATAGTTATTAAATAATACCAATACATTGTTTTTTTAGTCAGTAATTAATTTTATTTCAGAATTTTGTTGCGACATAATGCGTTCGGATATATTTCGTTCACGAGCGGAAGAACACTACAAATGATTATGTTCATTAAAGTATAGGTTAAATAACTTCTGTTGATAACATCATCAGAAATATTTTCTTATATTAAAAAGTTAGTTAAAATTAGTTTTAAATATTTATAAATGAATCGATCTAACCTTGAAAATTTCGTTAATTCGAACGTATGTCATCCAACGGATATCAATGTAGGTATTTAATGTAAGTATCAAGTAATAAAATAAAACTAGCGAACTTTCCATATACTCATTACAGGTAAAAAAATTAAACTGGCAAAGTTAAAATTGGATCTTTTCATTACCTTTTTATCTAACCGATATTCTGGCGGAGTTTACAATCGTCCGTAAAAACATAATTATAGTTCCGCTCTATACTTAAAATTAAAACCATATTAAATATTCGAGGTACTATTGCGAAATTCTTTAGAATTTAAATCTTAAGAACATATTGTATAATTTTTCGATACTATTTATATTTTATATTACATACATGTATAAGTAGACAAGTAGTAGACAGTAGTTAAAATGTAAAATAATAACAAAATATAGGTACGTATATATGTATTTTCTATATTATATTATGCTATATTATACTTTAAAATATATAATTCGTAAATAAAGCAATATAAGAGCATGATTTTGTACATCATGTTTTACACACAATTGTACAGATATTTTT